GAAGAAGAAGAAGAAGAAGAAGAAGAAGAAGAAGAAGAAGAAGAAGAAGAAGAAGAGCAAGAAGAAGAAACATAAACAAAAATAACTAAAATGATGTATCTGTTCCCAAATTTGTAAAATACATTCTGTCAGCTTAAAAAACTTAAAAATTTTAGTTTCGCCGTCAAAAGGAATGTGAGGAGAGACTTAAATGCACAGTCACAGTAGTGTAGGCTTCCTGTAGAAAACTAGTAGGCTTTGTGGCTGTAGTTAATTTCTTGTGGGTATGAGGGCCTGTTCGTCCTCTCTTCTCGATTACTTCTATTAGAGGTAAATTTATGTTCAACGAGAGACCTGGAAATTGTGTTGTGATGTACCTATGTCAGGATAAAATACTTACGAGACAACAGAATTCCATTTAATCCTTTGTGTTCTATTAAGTTATAACAATAATGAGCTAGCTTGATATACAGATTGCACTGAGATTTAAGTTCAATAACTTAGAAACCATTTGATCAAGAAAGTCAAAATTATCCTTATGCTTTAAATGTCTTAATCTCAAATTGAAACTCTAATCTAAATTTACTTAAAGCCCTGCCACTTTTAACTCTTTAGGTTGAAAAAGATATTTGGAAAGGAAAATCCTTCTTTGATCACTGCTGCACACTCTGGAAGAAGCGGAAGAAGCCCACAGTGGCGCATGACACCATTAGGATGATGCTGACTATAGGCGTGGAACCACTGTTGACAGGGCTGTTGTCACCGTTGCAGAGGTCTTCATCGCAGCACTTGTATTCGCATTTACCACCTGCATCTTTGCAAGGTTTTAAAGCTCCCGAGTCTGCCGCATCACACACAGCTTTGGGAGTGCAGGACTTTGCATATGCTTTAATTTGTAGATATTCTCTGGTAGATGTGAAACAGCGCGGTTCAGTAACCCCCTTGCAATCCTGCTCGTTTTGATTCTTAGCACAGTCCTCCATACTTGTGGTACTTTGACATTGGTAGCACTTTAATCCAGTAGCTGCGAGAAATAAGAAACGCTTCAGAAAGTTATCTTTTCTCAAACGTTTTACAATGAATTACTAAAAGTTATATAAAATTTTAGAGTGTTCGCATCCCACTGTCTATACACTGACGTTATTTCACTCAAACACTGTTGCAGTACGTGGTATGATTGCTCAGTTTAACACGGCAACTCGTTATTTTCATGTTATCAGGATTTTAACGTCGAACGGCATTAAGTGATGGCGATGCAGCAACCAGAGTAATTCTGGACTAACTAATCTACACAGGAAGAAGTAAATTATTTGGCTCCATTAACTAAAGGTGAATTAAACGTTAATTCATTTCTCAAGTACATGTGCGGAGGCCGTAATTTCTTCGTCTATTTTCTCTCAGTTGGTGCATGCCACCGAAACTGGGCCAAGTCCACTTGCGAGCCAGTCACTTGGCTACACTCTTTTTTTTTATAACAACTTCAAATATGGCATATTTCATAGGCATATCAAGGCTGAAATTTGAGAAATTTTAAGAATATTTTAAGAAAAAATGCGAGGTCGAGATGTTGAAAAGGATGTTATTTATATGTGTGTTGAAAATTTGTAAATGCAATACAGGTATACAATTCCATGCACACAAATAACCACATAAAATTGCTGATTTCTTTTTCTAAACGGTAGAAATATAGCCTGAGATAACAGACGACATTTCGAAACGCCACCTACGGTTTCCCTTGCCTAGTCCCTGTACGGCGTTTTCCCAGTCCCTCTGGGTCAATTCGTTTCGATGACGTATCTGAGGCGAACGGGCGGGAAACGCCTAGACAAAAACAGAATGCGCATGCGTGCGTTGCTTTTTGAATATCAAAGATGACGTTAACGTTGTGAGCAGCAAGCAAGCAGGCAGCAGGAGATTTTGGTTATTAACCACTCTTGTGGATATTTGTAGGATCGACTTTTGCCGACCGGCTTTGAAAAGTCATCAGAATGTTATTCATAGTCCTGTGAAGATTTATACTGCTCCTTCAATCTCATCATTCCAACTGAGCCGCTGATTGGAGTTTGCCGCTCGCGAATTTTTAAAGTAAACACAATATTGACCCGTGTGTTGTAAACTCAGACCTCAAATCTTGAATAATTAGAAAAACCATACTTTCAATTAAATTCATTGGCTGCGTATCAAAAAGTGCCCAGAAACTGAATCTAAAAGTAAAAATCCTATAAAATTCGCCGACATTCACAGAAGTGATGCGTGTATTATAAATGTGAGAAGCATTAAATTCTACTTGCATGCGTTGTCTCAGGATCGTGTTTTGAGCAAATGTTAATCAATGAAAGAACACACAACAATAGACAGAGAAATTATTTCTCGAAAATTTTTATTCAAAGGCCCATAAATTAATCAAGGAAGCGAGGGTATGCTCTTATGATAAGCCAATCGGCAACGCGAGTTTAATATTATCATCTACATTGCCTATATTTAATTTAATCCTTTGAATCTTTTAGGTACACTGTTTTTTCGTCATCACTTTTGATACAAAGGTTAACAGGTACAAACTTCAAATTTGTCAACATTATTTGATTAATGTAAGTAATAAATAGTAAATAATAATTATAAATGACATACGTGCATCCTGCCAACATTCAACGCTTGGCATTAAAGCCGACAATATTCCAGGGGCACTTAATCCATCTAAATTTATTTTTAGTCCCTAACTTGCAAAGGGGCAATTATAAGGGTTATTCATGGATGTACTGGTATCTGGGCGTTGGCTTTTTACTCGGGGCTTTTCAGGGGTAAAACCTTTCGGCGTAGAATTGAAATTTCATTTACTATTAATACTACAAGAACAGGACCACTCTCAGGGAAAAGTCGGCGATAAATTGCCCCTAAAGTTTCCTTTTAAGACAACAAAGACACCCAAATATCAAATAACAAAATCTCCCCAGGGGTGTTACTCCCTGATATAAGCTATACAGGTATGTGCCGCCCCAACGCATTAACGGTAGCTTTTTTGCGCCGTTTCGGTCTGAAAACGGGTATAGACTTTGCCCACTTTGATCTGGAATCGGGTATGGTCTTCGAGGAAACTAAAGGGTGTGTATGAGCTTATTTGTCGTTTCAATTTCAATTGAATACGAAACTGAAGAGTGATATGCGAATTTCCAATGGAATTAAGAAAACCTTTTTGTTGGCGTTCTATAATTTCTGCCTGTGAGGTCTGAAAACGGGCATGAATTGTAGAGGCTAGGTCTGAAAATTACGGTGGTCCGTAAGGGACATTGCAATCTTTTTTCTTTCTTAAATTATCGCGCGATAAAATGAGCAGTTATCGCTCGATAAATGAGAAAATCTAAAAATTATCGCGCGATAATTAGTCAGTTTATCGCGCGATAACTGTTCATTTTATCGCGCGATAAGTTTGAATTATCGCGCGATAATTAGTCAGTTTATCGCAGTAGTCATGAACAAAATTGACAAAATAGATGGAGTGGAATATTAATGGAATAGTAGTGGAATAGTAATGGAGTGGAATATTAGTGTCTGAGGTAACGCCGGAAATCTTGGGAAGGAAGTAAAACGTCTGCACTTCAACACTTGAGCAACAGGTCTTGATAGCCTAAACGTTGGCACGTACACGTACGTATAGTAGCTCAGATAGGGCGTGTATATATAAAAAAATATATGACTACAATATGTGCTGGAGATAAAAATAATCTTCAAGCTTTTGAAGAATTGAATTCGAAGGATTCAGAACAACATTTGCAAGATAAATCAAACGAACATATAAAACTAAACAATGAAAATATCTGGACGTGTGCAACTTGTTAATGGGGACATTGTTCGGACACTTTTTTCTTGCATGTCCAGTCAACTGATTCGCAAATAAAGTTAACCTTGCTATATGCCGGAATCTATACTGTGTGCTCTAGTAAACCTTACTCTTTCTGAAGGCGATAAACCACTGGAAGACTGTGCATGTTGATGTTCACAGTGCTACAAGTAGACTGGATAAGATCAGGTAAAGTCCAGAAGTCAATTTTTGACTATTTCACTATTTTGCCAACATAATAAATGGCTAATTTATAAAGAAGAGTGTTTTTGATTAAATAATGTATTAAAGAACGTTTTTTTTGTGTGTGTTCACTGACAAATCTTATTTCGCGGAATAAGGCAGTCTAAGTTAAAAATCTGTTTAGTTTGAAGACGCTTATAATTTACTTCGGTGTAGTTTATTTTATTTGTTTAGACAAATTCGTTGTATTTGGGTCTGTATGACAATCATAAAGTAGCCTGTTCTATTTTTCAAGACAGTGTCGAAACATGTCGCAGCAGATTAGGCTACCCGTAGTCAAATAATAATGTCTCCTCGATGTCTGGAATGTAGTAAGGATGCCGATTGAGAAGAAGGAATGCTTTTTTCTTTTGGAAGTGCACATGATAAAGTTAGCCTCACAACTCCCTTCCGTTTGATTCTTGCACGCCAAGTATAGCCCGTGGTAATTTCTCTTCTCCAACTAGATGCAAATACAAGTGGCCGAGTATTCTGAAGTTAAGTCTTTGGTCTTTTCGGTGTTTCAGACACTTTTTTTGGCGCCCTAACCACCCACTTCGGCGCTCTCAACCATGAGCTTCGAAACCTCCTAACCGTATCGAGTCTCAATATCTAATTAGTTGTATACAAAGGTATTGTATATGGGTGGCTCAAGGAAGAATTATAGTTTAACCCCCCTCACCCACCCACCATAAGAGGACATCCTTGGGAGTTCGGGACTTAAGATGTTAACTTATTACAGTCGGCGTCCGCTTTGGGGAGGTGCGAGGCCAAGTTACCCTCGGCTAAGTCTTCAAATTCCCTTGTTCTTTAACCTGTACGTTAACGACCTTCAATTTGTGTTTGAAAACAGATTATCTATCACTTTACCAAATAGTATAAAATTCAACTCTCATTTGTGTACGGACGACCTACTGGTATAAAAGCCTCAAGAGAGAATGATCTAAGAGAGCGAATCCCCCATGCATGATCCTCTTCCCATTAAAATTATTTTTAATCTATTCTTGGTTCTGTGTCATACTGCGTGATTATTTTAAGGACGCCACCTTATCGGTCGGAGTTCGCCGGAGAAAGCGGTTCTGACTCGACGAAAATTCCTCATTGAGGTCCTCGCTACATCAGTATATAAACAAGAACGCTCTAAGTAGCGTTGAGTCTCGCTTTTTTGTAGATACGATAAGAAGTGAGGAGGCGAATAGAGCGCGTGCGTTCGTCACTCGAGGGGGGGGGGGGGGGGGGC